CTAATTCTTATTCATTTTTGTTCTCACGCATCGTTTTTCACTCATTTTCATTCTTACAGAATATGACTCAATAAACATTCTGACATAATAAAAATAATAATAATAAATTCTATAATAACTTTATAGACGATTTAATTAGTGAGAATGTGTGATAATGACACTAGTTATGTAAGATTGAACGTATTCACATTATCAAACAACATATTTTCTTTTTCATTCTCACAGAATAGCACTGTCCACACGTCCGCACAATAGATGTCAATCCACATTTGAATCTAGCTCTCTCTCTGTATATATATATATATATATATATATATATATATATATATATTTACTATCTTATAAAAGAAATCTAACTATTTCTATAAATAGATTAAATATAATAATATTATTTTTTAATACGTCCAAATTATTAAGCTAACAGGACAATCAAACACCAATAAAATAATATTAAACTTTAACTCACTTTAAAATATTGGTAAATCGTACAAAACAGGAAATAGTAAATACAAGTTTTTTAATGCATTGTTACCTTTATTTCGGTGGCTTTTGATCTAGCATGTTGATGGAGTCTATGCTAATCCCGATATCTTGGCAATATATCTCTCCGTTTTGGGCTGCCTTCTCCTATATCTCTCGTCTTGCCGATTTCAAGATTTATTGTCTTCCAGGCGGCGGACTGCGATTTTGATTTGTTGTTCGCTTTACTGGAGTTTCAATCGAATTGGTTTCAGGTAAAATACATTCTCTATGTTCCCTCTTTTCTAATCCTTGAATACTCGATTCACTTCTGTTTTCTTTTGATTTTTGGTTTGAAATTCCTAATTGTTTTGATTTAATGTTGTTCGTTTGCAAGTAATTTGAAGAAGGTTGAAGATGTCAGACCCTTGGGGTTGGTTTCGTCGTTTGGGACACATGTACATGTTCATGAGTTCGGGTATGCTGATATGTTTAAGGTTTATATATTTTGGGGGTCAAAATAGATATATAAACATCAAGTTTTGCATCATCTAGGGTTAGGTAGTGGTGCTGGTGGCTGGAGAGTTTGCGGTGCATAACCGCATGGGTTAAGAAGGGGTAGTACAAGGTGGGGGGTTTCCAAATTCCGTGGTTTCTAGATTTATGGTGCCTGCTTACCTCATCCTTTCGGTGATTTCTATTACGATCCTTGTTCAAAATTGATTAATATTTTTGCTATACGTTACTAATCGATGTGGCAACTTAAATTTCAACTTTTAGAATAAGTAGAGACAGATCAATGGCCTGTTGCACAAGGTAATCGATCATTAAGGTGCACTGGATTTGGACTAAGTGTTGCAGCTGGATTGCTAGGGGCTTGTATGCCTGCTGAAATTGTAGCATTGTTTGTTGGGATATGCACTGAAGGCCCTGGTTCGGTAAGTTTTCTATGAACCTTTCATGTAACATATGATCACTGTTCTTTGGGCTACTATGTTTATACGTTGTAGTGGAATTATCTTTCAATTTTTGTAAGAGTTATGAAAAAAATTATTTATGTTTAGGTTGAATCTAAGCTTCTATTATTAGTTTCTGGTTTCTTGTAGATTGTATTAAAAGATCTCTCAGATCTTGTACGTTCACATAAAGATCTTGATAAAGATGCAACACCATATTTTAGTTCTCATGGCCGGTTAGTTTTCCTTTTGATTTGTTCTTTTTCTCTTTTCAATGCTTTTTAATTTTCCCCCTTTTAACAACTTCTAGCTGTTTTGAATTAATTTCAAAATATTACGACCTACGATAACATGTGCTATCATTTTGGTATGAAATGAATAGTTGTTGCACTTTGAGTTGGTATATGGTGGAGAATTATGCTACAATTTATAAATGAATCTTTGGATTTGTGTATTACGCATTTTCTTATTTTCCTTTGAGTAGTTCTTTAGAGTAAGATGGATAGGTTTATGTATATGACTTCTGTAACACCGTGAGACAAAAATTTGCCAGCGAGATAATGATGTTAATTTTTAATGCACAAATAAGTGTGTAACAGATTCTCACCAAAAGAATGTATTCTTTTTTCAAGATTTATTTTCATCTTCAATTAAATTATCAAGGTTTGGGGTTGGTTTATTGTAAGGGAGATATTTTTAAGTCTACAGTAATAATGTATTAGGAATTGAAATAAAGGTAATTTTTCTTTACCTCACAAAATTCCATCCCTTAATTGTGTAAAAGCTTTAATTATGAAAAGATTTCAGGAAAATTCGAATATTGAGTTATTATTCTTTGGTCTTTACTCCTTACATTGAAACAAAGCTGCAATATAGTATCATGTGGGAGAAAAGTGAGTCTGATAGAGACATAGAGTCCATCGTTGTCATTTTTATTAAATGGAGAAAAAAAATATATTATGCGGCTTCATCTACACTACGTATTTGCACTACAATAGACTAGCGAGAGTAAATTATCCGGTGATGAGTTATAATAAGGTATTGTAACTTTGTAAGATCTATACAAATGTTTTTTGATGCGTCCAATCCATTTTAATCATATTTTTCAAGTCTATACCCACCAAAAAAAATTTACAAATCAAATTAGAAATAAAAATTAACATATTTGACTTATCAATTTTTTGGTTAGTCCTGTTTAACATAAATCATGAACAAGAACCAAACCGGAGAGCCTAAGACTTCACCACATAGGTTAACCCATCCAACAAATATTGAAAAGATCAATTTGGTAACATGTTTCAGAATAGAACTAATTGTCAAAATAAACTATTCGTCGCCGCCGCTTTGCGCGGGTATATATATATATATATAGGGGACGATTCACTTGAGATTAAAAAAATAGATATCTTTAGATTCAACCTGAACAACATATTTTTCATTTGCCGCTCTAATGCTCCATCGTACCGGCAGCAACGGGGTATGTCTAATCATAAATGATTATATGGAAGAGAGGTAAAATCATATATGATTGTACATGTTTATACGTATATGACTAATCATTAATAATTATATATATATATATATATATATATATATATATATTCACAGATTGAGTAATCATATATGATTATAATAGTTGGTTACAGAAGAGATGGTGATGATAGACGTGACAGTGATATAAGTGACGAATGTGACAGTAGTGGGGTCGACTGGTGGCAGAGGTGGCGTTAGTGGTGTTGGCGGTGGCGGTTGTGGTGGTGTGGAAGGTGGTGGAAGTGAAAGGAACGGACAGCGCTACATAATCATTTATGATTATAGCAGGCCCACCGCGTCGGTACGTCGGAGGGTTAGAGCGGCAGATGTGAATTATGTGGCTGATGTTAAATTTAAAGATCTCTATTTTATTTTGAATATCAGTGGTACCTCTCTCTCTCTCTCTCTCTCTCTATATATATATATATATATATATAGAGAGAGAGAGAGAGAGAGATTTTTCGGAAAACAATGTCATAAAACCTTCAAAAATAGGTTTTCAGCACCGATTATACAAAACACATTGTTAAAAAGCTGACATTTGAGTATATATGAGTAGTTTTTTTAAGTAAAAAAGGGTGTTTATTTAGTGCCACCCGAAAACTCCATCGATTTGCATATATACATCAAGAGTTATATGCATAAACATATACAATTAATATTACCATTTAACCTATGATGTCACATCGTTATGACATTTTAATCACTTTGGTGAACTACTTGTTACTCAATCTTACCACTTCAGTAGTTCTTACATATACAAGAAGTCTTCAATATTAATATCTCCACCATTGAAGTTGAAAATTTGATCAATTTTCATTTGGGTACTATGAAACATATCTTCATTTTGATAATTGCTTTGATGGTTATCATTCTCATTGTTGTCTGTGGAAGCTTCATTTGATAGCAGTTCATTCATAGGGGTATCTTGGTAATTTGAGCCGTTGCTAACCCCACCATTGAATGCCAAACCATTATGTCCATGAAACTCTTCTAGGCTAAGCCAGTCTGCAAATAAAATCTTTGGTAATTTATTGATCTGAGTTTGTGGGATCTGTTGATCCGTGTCAGCATAGGAACGGTTTGCAGAATCTGATGAATCAAAGCTTAGGTTTCTTGACATTGAATTCATATATGATGATGATGATTCAGTATTTCCTGTGTTTGTAATATTCTGAACTTCAAGATTTCCCGATTTTGCTACCCGTTTTTTTAAATAGGAATGCCAGTGATTCTTGATCTCGTTATCAGTCCGACCAGGTAAATGTTGCGACATTAGAGACCACCTGATTAAATAATAATAATAACGTTAGTCTTTATCACTAAATTTTACAATATTTAATAAAATATATATCATTTTATTTACCAAAAATGATTTATAATGAAAGAAGATTAATTATAACTGTTGCTTACTTGTTGCCTAAAAGTCCATGAAGGGTGATGATAGTTTCTTCTTCTTGCATTGAAAATGCCCCTCTCTTTAAACCTGGTCTTAGATAATTAATCCACCTCAATCTACAACTCTTTCCGTTCCTTTCCAGACCTGGAATGTGTTGGTATAAACTTTTAATCGATAGGTTCTAGTATCCTACTTCTATTATTTTTTTCCTATTACACGCTTACAAGATTGTACTTTGAAAACTCCATCATGTTGAAGCAATGACATTCATATACAATACACTTCAATGCTATAACTGAATAGGTTTTTCGAAGTGCAATGTCTTAATAATATAAAATTGAAAGTAGAATGCTACAATTGGGTTAGATTTTCAAAACCGGATGTGTTAATTAGAAAACATTGAAAGTATAATGTTGTTACATGGAAGTATGATTCTATAACAAATAGATAAACAAAAGTAAGTTCGTCTTTTATGTCACATTCATAGAAAATTACCAGCATTGATAGGTACTGCACTCCAACAACCATGACCATAGTTCACTATGTAATCTCTTAGCTTTTGATCCTCATCGGGAGACCATAAGCCCTTCTTATGCTTCAACTTTGTCTTCTCTAATGTGTTGCACCTCATAATAACTGGAGAATGATAATGAGAAAGAGAATTTGATGATAATGAATGGTATGATGAACAATTGACTTTAGATGCCTTGGAATTTAAAGAGAGATCATCCGGCCGTTTAAGTATTAAATAAAGATTTTAAGTTCTCCTATCCACCATCACAAGTATTAAAAAGAATTGTATGAAGACTTCAATTATTTTAGATTAATGGGAAACATAACTGGAAGTTTTGGAGACATATATTGTATATGTGTTTATTTCTATTATTTTTTTTTTCTTATATTCTCGTTCTTAAGAGATGAGTTTATGACGATCGGATTACAAGTCTTGAAATAAAATAGGAGCATCATCAGACAGTTGACAACAAATTTTTAATGAACAATTGAACATACATTAATATGCGTTTGGTATGTTCTCATGGATAATTTACTATTGTACAGAAATGTTTTAATAGTACGCCTGGGATTATAATTAATGGGAATGATACTCCTTGTAGAAAGTCTAACAAGTCCTTGCCAATGAGAAACTTGATTTGATTATTTCAACAAAAATGATTAACAACTTTAGTTGAATTTAATTATTTTTCAACCCATGGGGCTTTTACGAATATAAAGAAGTACGTTTAAGATATATGACTGAATTCATTGACAACGATTTAGAGAGACAGCCTACAATCTTAATCAATCGCTTTAGCGTGTGCCTTTCTCAATGTTTTATTTTAAAGTTTAATGTTTTTTATCTAAGCCTTTTTTTATTGGACTATTTAATCAATGTCTTCTTTTATGTAATAACACATGTGATTTATATTCATATACTTGATCTTCATTCCATTTTTCTGGCACGACATAATATCATTAAAACCTAAAAATATGCTTGGCAAGAAAGAGAGAATTACATATGCCTTATCTACTCTACCTAAAAATGACACGTGTCAGTTTTTTAGAATGTTTCTTTGACAGGTGACATTTTTCTATGATTTTTATTATTTCCTTTTTTTTGGTAACAAATCAAATTCAATTCAAACTTTGAAAATACAAAATAATATCCTAATAACATTATTATATTTATTTTTGCTTAACAAATTAATTCATAATTACTTACAATCGATAATATCTTTTTTTTTTTGACATTTACTATTTTTTTATCTATATAAAATTTTTAAGTATACCGACCGTTTCCACGGGTTATAACCTAGTTATGTCATTAATTTGGTTTTGAATAGAAGTCGCCCAACCTAACTGACTTTTAGCTTCTTACTCCTTATAAAACCAAAAATAAGATTTGGTAACTATACAATCAAATATAATTCCCTATTTTGTCTCTTGGTTCCAAATATTGTAGTATTGCGAAAAGTTCTATATCGCCCAAAAATTAGTCAATGTCACAACATCGAGACATTTTCTCTATAAGGATCTGGCGTAATGTTTCACAAAGTTATCCTGAAATTGATACTTTTTTTAAAACAAACCATTTAAGCAATTTTGTCGACCGACTTTATTAACATACAATATCCTTAAAAGTTACCGCTATAATTCTTTTACAACGATTAAAGCATCAGACTATTTATCATACAGGCTACAGCTTAGGCGGCATTCTTTATTTCATATGACAATCTTTTATAGAATGATTGTTTATTTCATATGATAATGATTATAGAAATGAAGACATGCATCAGCATGCTTCCTCATACCATATCACAAGAACATAATAGGAACACGTAGCATGGAATTTTTTTGATATGTATATCTTCAACAATTATTACTTAATATTGTATACTATTTTTTTTTAAATAAAGACAAAAGGTACAATGGGATTTAAGTAGAAAGACTTGGAATGTCAATGGCCTTTTTATAATCCAACAGGCATTGTCAATCAATAAACAATGGTTTTCAGCTCTAATAAATTAAAAAATAAAAATAATACTCTGTCTGGAATCTGTTGAGGAAAGAACCAATGAGAAATATGGTTGAAATGATTAAATAATTTTTTGTTTAAGAACTCATCTTCG